GGGCAGCCCGGCTGGCGCACCGAGCTCCTTTCATTCCTAAAAGGTCCCTTCAGCCAAGCCCAAGCTGCAGGGAGAGAAGGGCAGGCGGCCCTCTCCACGCAGCCTTGGGGCATCCAAGGTCAGGTTGGGAGCTCTGGGACACCTGCTAGGTCCTGAGGAGGTTTCCACAYCCCACAAAGGACAAAGGTGACACTCCAGCTACATGGAGAGGTGCAGATTGACCCAACAGCCACTAGGGTGCTTCCCAAGGGCCCAGCATCATGGCCACCATCCCCTGCAGGACGCTCCTCCAGCCCTCCCCTGTTCTTTGATCTGTTCCTCACAAACACAGAAATCGCAGGGATGGAGACTGAGGTCATCCCCACTGCTCCAGTGAGGAAACTGCTATACGGTTCGGAGGGGCACCGACAGCAAGGAGACGGCAGAGCCAGCATTCAAACCCACGGCTCTCGGCAAAGCTTTCTCTGCTAAACCCCGATCTGCTAGTGTTTGCTTTTTCCTACAAAATTCCCCACCCACCCCCAGCAGCAAGGGGCACTGGCCCAGGAGGATGGGAACATGGAGATGGCTGGTGGTGATGGTCACATAGCAATGCCACTGGACTGTGCACTTAAAAAGCATCACTATATTAGTGTTTACTAAATACTAAATACATAAATATAAATAGCTTAAATAATCGATGAGGTAATAGGCTGTAAAGAAATTGTTTGCAATTTTTTAAAATAAAAATCATTCTATGAACATGGTAAAATACAATTAAAAGCTAAAAAAAAAAAAAAACACAAACCTCCCGGTGGAGGAGAGAACGTGGGTTTCTTGGCTCCAAATCCCTGGAACTTACTAGTTGTGGGACCCTGGGCAGGTGTCAGACCCTCTCTGAGCTCATCTGTTAAATGAGAAATACAGCCGTGTGCAGTGGCACACACCTGTATCCCAGCAGATCAGGACACTGGGACAAAAGAGGTCCTCCAACTTGGGCACCTTCTGTATGCAGAAAGAACACGCGAGTTCAAAGCCAGCCTCAGCAACAGCGAGGTACTAAGCAACTCAATGAGACCCTGTCTCTAAATAAAATATAAAATAGGTCTGGGGATGGTGCTCAATGGTCAAGTGCACTTGAGTTCAATCCCTGGTACCAAAAAAAGAAGAAAGAAAGAGAGAGAAATGCAGGTATGCCTCCCTCGGGGACTAAATGAACTCAATCAGACCAGGGACAGCAAACCCCTCCTATAAAGGCCAGGTAGGGAGTTATTTTGGCTCAGGGCATCTGCCCCACCCCAACCTGCCAACATGGTGCAAAGCAGCCACAACCCTGTACACAGATGGGCATGGATGTGTTCCAATCAAATTTTATTTACAAGATCAGGAGTGAGCAGTAGCTTACAACCCAGGGACAGACCTTTGTCCTGGCCAGGTGCTTCGCGAATGGTAACCCCACCTCGCATAGAGGGCAACACTGCCTGTGGCAATCCAGGAAATACTAACCCCAAGGGCAAGAGCAACACTAACACACTGCAGTGCCTCCCCTCACCTGTGCCACCCTCCAGTGCCACCTTCTGTCTTCTACTTTCAGCTAGGGGCCTCGACCAGCACAGTGGTGACCTCGCAGCTCCCCCTGCTCTCTGCTGTCCTGGCTCCAGGAGCAGTTCTGTGGCAGGAGGCCCCTAGCTTCCTCCCCCCCTGCCCTGCCCTGCCCTGCCCTGCCCTGCCCTGCACTGCCCTGTGGTGCTGCCCACCTGGCCCTAGAGAGGCAGGAGCAAAAATAACACTTTCTGGAAATGGAGGTCCCACTTTCCAAGCCTCTCATCACAGCAGCCCAGTGACCACTACTGATTCTGCCTCGGTGACATGCTTCCATGAGGCCCCGCGCCAGTGCATTTGTCACGGGGCCTGCAGGAGGCTGCTGTGCGCTGCAGGGGTTAGTGCTACCTGGGGCAGCAGTGAGGTCAATCAAAGGCCCCAGTGAGGGAGGCCGCTGCTGTGTCCCCTCGGCCCTGAGACCCGCTGCTTCTCTCTAGGTGCCCACACGCCCTTTACCTGAGTGGCACTGTGAGTTAAAACACAGAACTCGTGGCAGGAGTGGGAGGCTCAGCTATGACAGCTATTTACCTTATATAACCCTCACTCCTGCTCTCCAGAAAAAGGCACTGAGCACAGAGAGGGCAAGTGACTTGCTAGAGATCACAGAGCCCATGGGGTGTAAGCTGATCTTCAACAGCTTCCCCACCCCGTCCTGCTCCCTGGGCTTGTGATCATGAGTTCCAATGTTAGAAAAGGACAAAAGAGGTCCTCCAACTTGGGCATCTCCTGTGGGACAAATCTAAAGGAATCATCTTTTTCACAGTTCATTGCACACTTTCTCATCATCAGGACCATTGATTAAGTGTCTATGATCCCCACACTAATTAAGTGTCTATGATCCCCACACTAATCCAGCCAAAAAGAGACCACTTATACAGGAAATGAGGGCTCAGAAAGGTTACTCCTTTGCTTTAAGACCACACAGCAATAAGAAATAGGGCACAGGTGAGTCCACCTGCAGAAGTTCTGCAGACTGACCCCACCACCCATCCAAGGTGTCCAGTGGGGGAGGAGACCAGTCCAGGAGAACTGGAGACATGCTGCCGGCATCTCCACTCTCTCCAAAGGAGGACGGCGTTTAATTAGAAGGCCTGGATGGCAGCACCTGTCAATCACAGCTAAGTGCAGGGCAGGATCTGCCCTGCAAGGGCTCAATAGCCACACATGTCCCCTCATGCGCCTTATGAACCAAGAGAGCAGGGCTGGATCCTCCACCTCCTCATGAAGCCTTTCTGATCAGGCAGAGGAGAGCCTGCCCATCATGCTCTCTCCCTGCAGAAAGTCCCGTGGGTGACTGGGCAGTGTCCCTCCTACAGGGCAGGTAGCACCTCCCCAGGAAGAAAGATCCATGAAGGGGGATGGCCTCAGACCTCAGTCATCCCGTCTCTATGAGTGCCATCTGCTTAAGGAAAAACCACACATGCCAGCGTTACACTGTGTGTGAGGCTCGAGAAGCACGGTGAGAGAGGCAGCTCTGGCAGAACCAGGGAAAGCCACAGAGTATCTTATCCTGTCAATGGGAGTTTTCCAGAGGCCAGAGGAGAAACTATTTTGAAGGAAAAAAACAACATGTATGGAAAAAACCTGTGAAGACACAGAACGAAGATGGCACGTGTGGCTGTGAAAGGGAGGCGGGGAGGAGGACAGACTGGCCGAGGAACCTGTGAGCTCATGGGGGCAGTGGAAGCCATGGATGGTCTGAGAAGGAGGAAAATGGTAATCATTTCACGTGTGGGGTCCATACTGTGACGCTATGAGGGCTTCTTGCTGTGAAAAGCCTCAGGTGACAGTGACCCCCAACTCTGGAGCAGAGATGTCCAGCACTGCAGACCCSTACAGGTCTTAAAGACAAACACTTTGCAACACCCCACACACCTCCTCTGGGTGGTACCCAGCCTTCTCCAGGCCTGAACGTCTGAGGCTTCCAGGGAGTTGACAATGCCCTGCAAAGCAAGGAGCCTTGAGGGGTGGGGGGCAGGAGGGGGGTCCTGACCAGTGCACCCCATCCCCAAACCTGCCCTGCCCGCTGTCCATCCCAGTGAATGGAACGGGACCCTCATCCCCCACAAGCACCTGGCCCTGGAGAAAGGGCCAGCTCCTCCCACAGCCTCGCCCCCACACCAGGGGGTCGCCCTGAGTTAGGGGTGATGACATCCGCTGCTCCTGTCCTGCTCACCTCCCCTTCTAGTTTGGGTGGCACAGGCCATCCTTGGTAACTGGGCAGTGTCCGGCCCTGCTGTACAGAATCCCAAGAGGGGCAAAGGTCTCTCCCTGACCTTGGTCTGTAAAGAGTTCATCAGATAAAGGGAGGGTGTTCCCCAGAGGGAATGTTTGGAGCAAAGAAAGGCCAAGGCCAGTGTGCCTGTGAGTGCGCAGCGGGGACGGGGCGGGGGAGGGCTAGCGATCAGATACAGTATCCAGGAGCTTAAAGAGCCGGGCAGAGGCTGGCGGAAGGCCCGAGGCTGGCCAAGCCTCAGGAGAGGAAAGGCTGGGATGCCTGAAGAGAGGGGTTTCTAAGGCACAAGCCTCCGGCCTGGCAAGCGGCCTCTATAGGGTGACGAGGCTGGATCCTCAGAAGCCCACAGCAGCGTGGCTGGAGGGATGGAGCAAGGGGCCAGGAAGGCGAGGCTGCCACTCACTGACACAGACCAGGAGGTCGCTGGCCCGAACGCTGGGCGCCAGGCAAGGTGACCAGCACCGCCGGAGCCAATTCTTGCGCACCGTCCGGGAGGCCCAATGCGCCCAGGGCGCGCCTGCCGGGCAAGAGGGTGGGTACCAGTCTTTCTTCCCAGCTCTCCAGCCTCCTCCCCCGCGCCCACGTGGGCGGAGCAGCGCGAGGGTGTGCGTGGCAGGGGCCGCGGTGGCGTGTGCTGTGCGTGGGGTGGGGTGAGATGGGATGGGTGGGGTGCGGGCTGGGGTGCCTCCGCGTTCCGGCCCTTTCCTCTGTGCCACCTAGACAGGGTCCGGGGGACTATGACCTACCGGGAGGACACCTAAGAGACCGGCCAACCACGCCCCCCCGCGCCTCTCCCGGGAGCACCGGGTGGGTCCCCCCTCCCACCCCTTGTCTCGAGGGCGGAATGGGGAGAGGAGTGGAAACACCGGTGGCGAGAGGGAGAAGGGGGGCTGGAGGCGGACCGAGATGGGGCGTTGGAAGCGACGTAGCGACTGGGAGATGTTTCGGGGGCTTCAAGAAAGGAGGGGGATGGGAACGGAACGGTGGGAGACCAAGGGGTAGGATGCACAAGTAGAAGGGGGTCAAACAGGGGTGGCGATGGCTGGAAGAGGAGAAAGTGGGCGATGGGGCGGGGCAGCACCAGTCGCCTGGTCCCTTGCTGCCAGGTCCGCCCACCCGTCCTGGGGTCTGCGGGACCCTCTGCCAAWGCTCGCCTCTCGCCTCCCGGCGCACCTGCACCCACCTGTTCGGCGCTCCGGCCTGAGCCGGGCAGCAGCAGCGGGCGTAGTGAGCGCAGTCCCGCGCCGCATCCTCCAGCCGCCCCCTCCCCGCCCCAAGCGTTCGCCGCTCTCGCTGCCGCCGCCGCCTTAGAAAGGACTAAATGGAACAGAAAATGAATGCGTGCAAAAAAAAAAAAAAATCGTCAAATGCAACTGAGGAGACAGGGCAGGCGCGCGCGGCTCGGTCGGCGGGGGTCGAGGGCCGGGTACACGGGACCGGGTTCGGGCAGGCGGCCGGCGCGTGCCGCACGCTCGCGGCTGCAGCTCCGGCGGCCACCGGGCGCCGGCTCGWAGCACGGCCCCGCCCCTCCCCCGCGGCGCCTCTCCGATTGGCCCGTTTTTCCGCCAGTCAGGGAGGAGGGCGTGGCTACCGCCTGCCCACCCCGGGCCTACGCCCGAAGCGGTTTTGCCTCCTCTAGGAGAGGCGCTGCGCCCGAGCGTGCGCACTGGCTCTCGGGCCGGCTGGGAGAGCCGGGGTCCCAGAACTAGCGCCTTCCTGGGTCGGAGCGACACCCGGAAAGGGCTTTCCAGTTAAGGCTAAAGATCCCAGGAAGCTCGTCCCTGCCCGCAGGGGTCACAACCGTGAGGGGGCGTGTATATTTAACGTGGGATCACGGCCATCCCAGACCACCCGTGGTCAGGGAAGATGCAACAATCACATGTGATATTTCCCCCTTTGTACACGGGGGAGGTCTGAAGGTCAGAGATTAAAGCGAAATGATCAAGATGACTGATAGCAGGTGGCAGAGCCCGGATTCCATCCGAGGGAGTCCCCCTTTGCCAAGCAACAGTTGAATGAACAATGTGTTGTGGAGCTCAGATCTGGAGGAGGTAGGATTTGGCTGGGCGAGGAATCCATTCATTCACTGTGGATCCAGAGTATTTATCAAGCTTCTACTATCTACCAGGAAGTGCCTAAGATGCAGGGAGGCCATGGTGAAGGACAGAGGGGAAACCACTGCCCATCTGGAGCTTACAGTCTACCAGGAAGGACACAAGGGGGGCTGGGGAATAGCTCTGTGGGTAGTGTGCTTGCCTCATATGCAGGGCATCCATCCACACGAAGGGACCGTCGTCAGTAAGCACCTTCACCTTGACTGAAGAGAATGGACATATTTGAGAATCTGAAAGAAGAGTAAGAGTCTCTGGCAACAGAGAAGTGAATGGGAGGGTGTGGAAAGACGAGTGTGGGAGGGGGCAGAGGCCAGCACTTTTAAGCCTTGTGGGCCATGGGAAGGAGTTTGGAGTTTACCCTGAGACAGTCTTGCCTGGAAAGGGGTCAGTGGGACCACCGTCCATTTTACATTTTTACATATACCAATCAGTTGAGCCACACTAACAAGCCCAAACCTCGCTGGCTGGCTTCCTGCTCACATTCCTAGCTAGCCACTGGGGCTCTGCTCACAGAAATCAGGAGCCCACGCTGATGGAGCTCTGCTGAACTGAGTGTGCAAAGTCAGTGCAGCAATAGGAATGAAAGGTGGCAAGTTATACTGCTTAAAAGCTCCCRCCCCAAATAGACACACATCCCTCACCCTCACATCTAATTGACCAAAGGGAGCCAYTTCCTGTCTAACCAGTCTGGAGCGGTAGTGCAGACCTCCAGGATCCTGGAGCATCTGTGCAGAGATCTGAGAGTATCATCAAAGGCTGCCTGGAGCRCAAGTGTAGATGCAGGGCACAGTGGGGGGTGCCATGGTGGTGAAGGAAGGCTGAGCATCAGAGAGGTCCCTGTGGTGGAACTGGAAGGAGTTACCCATGGACAGAGGGAGAGGCATCAGGGATGAGGTCCATGTGTAATGGGCTGAACTGTGTCTCTCCCCAGTTCCCCAGAATTATGTGTTGGAGTCCTAACTCTCCTGTACCTCAGAATGTGACCTTAGACATGGGTTCACTGCAGAGGTCATTAGTTAAGGGGTGACCTACTGGAGTACCTTGCTCCCTAATCCAAGCTGACTGGCGCCCTTATAGAGCAGGGAACTTGGTGTGGGCATAGACACACACAGGGAGAGCAGGCCGAGGTCCATGGCTCATCAGCTAGCCGAGGAGCTGAAGATGGGCAGCAAGCCATGAGAGGAGGGGTGGAAGTCCGGAACAGACCTCCCAACCACCTTCCGAGGAAGCCACCCTGCTGCCCCTGGAAACTTCAGAACTGAGACAGTAACTCCCTTTTGTTGAAGCACCCAGTTTGTGGTACTTTGAAACATGTGTATCAGTTAAGGATAATGTACAGTCACAATTGTACAGTGGCTTAAATGAATCATTTTGTCTCACTTGAGAAACTCAATGATCTGTGGTCCTTCCMTGTATCTCTCTTTCACTCCTTCATATTTAGCATGTAATTTTCTTTCTCACAGGATCTTTGAGGTGGCGAGATGCCTGCCTCTCATCCAGCATCCCATCATTATTCCAGTCAAGAAGGGGAGAGCAACAGGCACACCCCTGGACAGCTCCTTTAGTGCTTTCCTGGAAGCTCCGCCAGAGGCCTCTATCCCGTTGGCCAGAACAGTATCCCGTGGCTAGCCCTGGCTTCCAAGGAGGCTGGGAAATTTAAAAATAAATAAATAAGGGGGGCATGCTGCTGCCTGAGAACAACAGGACTCCCTTGGTGAGGAAGAGAGAACAGGCTACCAGCCCTGGTGGATCCAGGWTACGGAGGACCTGAAAAAAGAATGTAAAATTACAAGTACAAGCCTTGGAATAATAATTAGAATAATTATTATTAGAATATTCTAATTATTCTTTTTTTTTTTTTTTTGGTACTGGGGATTGAACTCAGGGGCTCTCAACCATTGAGTCCCATCCCCAGCCCATTTTGCATTATATTTAGAGACAGGGTCTCACTGCGTTGCTCAGTGAGGCTGGCTTTGAACTCTCGCTCCTTCTGCCTCCACTTCCTGAGCCACAGGAATTACAGGCGTGCGCCATCATGCCCAGCTCTGATTATTCTTTAGAATAATAATTTTTATAATAACAAAACACAACAATTTTAATGCTTTAAGTTGGCCAATATCACAAACATTACAAAATCCAGGGAAAAAATACATAATTTTACTAACTCTCTGACATGCACCTGTATGATTTCCTTTTCTACATTTTTCAGCTTCATCCTTTTGGTTGCCTCCTCGTGGAATAATAATTTTATATTTTTCTAAGGACAAAGCAGAAAGACAAGGCAGAGTTCTCCTGGTAATGCTGGGAAAAAAAATAGGGTTAGGGTTAGAAAACCTGCTCCCAGCCTCCTGGCTCTTTAATGGCAGTGGCATGTGCTTTTTGGGAATTGTTTTCAAATCGGGAAAAACTACCTTCTTTCTACCATAAATGAATGCTAAGTTTTGGAAGAATTACGTTTCCTCCAGTTTTCTTATTGTGGTTTTAATAATTTTCACAACAAAAGGCAACTGTGCAGTTTCAAACCTGCAGAGGGTTCGCTCAGTGCATCCTAACCTTCAGCCCCCATCGCGGGCACCTGAGGAAGAAGATGGTGAGTGCAGGTGCCTGGGCTCCTGTGTCCTGCTGAACAAAGCCTAAGGAGCAGGGCCTAGGGACTGGCATTTGACTGAGTGCCCCCAAGTGACTCCAGAGAGAACCGAAGCCGGTTGGGTCCCAGATCAGGTGATCCCAGGTTGCCCTGTGGCTCTGAAGGTCTGCAGACCTGTGTCCGGCACTGGGAGGATTGTGCTTTAAGCCTCTCGTCWCTTCCTCTGTCTGTATACTTCTGACGCCAGGCACCATAGAATACATTCCTGGCCTGATACCTGTGGGTTGGCACAACGGGTGGGAGGCACATCTGGAAGCCATGGCACCTCTCAGCCAGCAGTAACTGGACTTTCACAGATTGGCTCAGACCATATAAGCACACCCTACTGAACGCGAACCAAGGCACCCCGACTCAGTGTCCCTTCATCTGCATCCCCCAAATCTTCTCGGCCTCCAACCACTTCTCCAACCACTTCAGATACAAGAGGAGGTGTGATGACAGGAAGTCAGAGGGAAAGAGACTAGAGGGTGAGAGGGAGCCCTTTCCCCTGAGACCCACGTGTGAAGTCCTATTGCCCTGCTCTTCCAGCGTTTGAGATGGGGTCTTTATAGGGGTCATTAAGGTACTAGAGCAGAGCCTCTTACAGTGTGGCCCATGTCCTGGTAAAAGGGATCGCAACACAGACAAGCAGAGAGGACACCATGAGAGGACACAGGGACAATGTCCCCCTGCCTGTCGAGGAGAGCAGCTTCCCGAGGAATCGGTGCTGCCTACACCTTGATCTTGCACCTCTGCCCCCAGTGCTCAGAGGGACTAGGCCTCTGTTGTTGAAACCATCCYATAAAGGATGCTTTGCTGAGGCAGCCCTCGCAGCAGACTGAACGAATTGCAGCTCAAATATCTCATTTTCCCAAAATACCCAAACCCCAGGACCACGTGACCCCATAGCTTCAGCCTTCCCCCTTGGAAGGGTCTGCTGTGGAGCTTCCCAGCCTAGCAGTGAGTCCACCTCTCCTGCCACCGGGTGGTCACTGCATGACCCTGGGGCCATCCTGGGAGACAGACACCACCATGATCTCCTTCTTAAGAATGAGTGGGGACCCTGGGACACAGCAGGCACACCCAGAGTGGTTCCTCATCCAAAGCTGCTCTGTCTGGATGTCACAGCATCAAGAACAATGGTCACATCAGGAAGACCCCTGTCTGAGAAGGTGGGAGCACTGTGTCCTGTGGTGGGACGGTCATTTCTGGGGGTGCTGGAGAAGGGCCTCTGGCCAGGGAAGAACCTGAGATTCCCACTGCTTGCAGCRGAAATTTGCCCTTGGCTGCAGGAGCCAGGCTGCCTGGCTCCAGTGCTGGCTCTGCCACATACTGGCCGGTGACCTTGAGCAAGTTATTGAGCCTTGGCTTTCCTCAATCTACTGATGGTGTTATCACTCAGAGGCTTGGGTTAATATGTGTGAATCTGATCAGTTCCTGGAGCTGCCAAGATAACTTGCCATGCACCGTGATACTGAAAAAACCCACTTTGGTTTCCTTGCCCTTTTGCCTGTGCCCCCAGGGCTGTGCTTGCCCTGGGGCTCCCGAGGAGGCTCCTGCCCATCTCTTTCAGCTTCTGGCAGCTCAGCTGCTCCTGGGCTTGGACCTGCATCCTCCAATCTCTGCCTCCATTTCCATGTGGCCTCCCCTGCATCTGCATCTCTTCTTCTGTCTTTTATAAGGACATTTGTCATTGACTTTAGGCCTCACCCAGATTATCCAAGATGATCTCAAGACCCTTAACTTTATAACATCTGCCAAGAAACTTTGTCTAAATAAGTTT